TCGAAATACACCAATGTCCATTTTACTATTAGCACTGTTTTAAGCTAAAAGTTGACCCAGTCTTCGGTCCGCCAGAGAATAATAAAATAGTCGTGATTGAGCGACGTCTGGGTACTCGTGGCGGCGCCGCCATCGTTCTTTTCGTCCATACGGTGGTCGACAAATCTGTCCATCAGGTATCGGTAGCCTCGACCTACGGTCACAATGTAGTGACCGTTGGCCGTAGCCTCTTCACCTCCGCGACTCGTTCGCTCCCGATACATCAGCGACGGCCCCGAGCTTTCGCTGTGCTGCTTGGTTATTGACCCAGTGCCAACGTTGATGGGAGTGTGACGCTGCTCTGTGGACGTTTTTGAAGCACTGTCTTCGGTGTATCCTCGAGTGCGTGTCACAAACTGCCTGTCACTGATCGACGTGATTATGCGAATGTCTTCAGCGTGTGGTCGAAATGCAGTTATTGGCTTTAGCTAAAACAAAATGTTGAAAATCTGTAGATGCAACGTTAAAAACGTTATTAACTGCAACGCATTAAGAGAAACCGGTCACTGATATCTGGAAATTGCGCAACTAGCGTCTTATGCCAGCTCGAGCCGAACTTTACTGCTTAGAAATTTTCAGAGACTCAGAAAGACAGAATGGGCTGACTTAGTGTTTTTTTTAACTGTAGGCCTTGATGTTCATTTTCTTCATCTTAATAATCATCATTTTTTCGGCTGACATTATCGCCTGATAGCATTCGAAATGTTGATAAAATATCTCTGATGCTGAATCTTTAAGGGTTGTTTGCCCATATTTGGGCGTCGACATTCTCTCGAACAGGAACCGTACGTTTTATCCTATATATCCTATTCATTACGGTATATGGACAGAACGAACATGTATTGCCAAATGGAAATGAGTTGTAACTCAGCCATTTCTGCAACTGCGCAATACGACAGATCTATCGCCAGTTGCCGATAAACTCTGTAAATTTGTCACACTAGCATCTGTTAAAGTTCTGTAGGTACAAATCTTGTGCGAATGTACTCTAAATTCACTATCTCACAAGAGCAGAATAACAAGCTGATAAATGATTTAAAGGAAAACACTTCCCGCCCAGAACGTTACATTCACGATCAGTTCTGAGAGGTACAGCGAACGCTGAACAGAATCAACTGTTACTAAATCGCCCACACCTCTGA